AATTAGACAACAGTTTTGTATTAGTCAAAAGGGGTAAGCAAAGAGCTAAGTACTCTAGAGCTCTTGTACCATCCAGAAGAAAGTGTCAACTTTGTGTTTAAACTTTAGACCTTGTTAAATTAAAATACATGATAACTTTCAAGAATAACCACTAAGAAAAGAGGAAGCATAATTCCAAATCTTAAGAAAGAAAAACATGGAGTAGGAAAAAAGGTTCCAAAAGAACTCAGTTAAGTGTGTCTGGATGGCTCAGTCAGTTAAGCAACAGACTCTTGATTCAGCTCAGGTCATGATCTCAGGGTCATGAGATCGAGTCCCACATCAGGCTCCATGCTCAACGTGGAACCTGCTTGAGAGTCTCTCTCTCCCTCTGCTCACCCCCATGCTCTCTCTCTCTCTAAAATAAATAAGTAAATCTTAAAAGAAGAAGAAGAAGAAGAAGAGGAAGAAGAATTGAGTTAATCCAAAAATAAGAATGCAAGAAAGAAAAAAAAGCCAGAAACAAAATACATGGAACAAATAGAAATCAAAAAGTAAAATAGAATCAAAGACTAAATTGATCAAGAATTACAATAAATAGGGGTGCCTGGGTGGCACATCTGCCTTCAGCTCTGGTCATGATCCCAGAGTCCTGGGATCAAGCCCCAAGTTGGGCTCCCTGCTCCGCGGGAAGCCTGCTTCTCCCTCTCCCACTCCCCCTGCTTGTGTTCCCTCTCTCGCTGTGTCTCTCTCTGTCAAATAAATAAATAAAATCTTTTAAAAAAATACCATTCTAAATTTATTTACCAAAAAACCTGCAAAATAATTCTAAATTTCCTTTTCAAAAATGCGGATCAAGTAAAGTGCCCAAGTCAAGAATGTCAAGAAGATATCACCATTTCTATTGACATTATACTAGAGGTCCAAACCTTAAAGTATTATACTTTAAGAAAAATAAAAAGCAAAATGACTGGAACTGACATTATTTTCATACAAGGATTGTTTATATAGAAAACCCAAAAGAATCAATAAACAAATGTTTAGAAGGAATAGAAAAATTATTAAAATCAATGACAAGTTGTATCCAGTAAGGCAGCTGGATAAAATATCAATTTACAAAACTATTTCTACTCTAGCAACCAACTATTACAAAGTGTAAATTTAAAGGATATCACAATAGCAACACAAACTACAAAGTATCTAGGAATAAACCCAACACAAAATGTGCAAGATCTGGATACAGAAAACAGTAAACCTTTACTGGAATGACACTAGTGAAGACCTAATAAGCAGATAGCTATCCCTTGTTTATATACTGGAAGACTCAGAAAGATGTGAATTCTATCCAAACTGATCTGTATATTCAATGCAATGCCAATTAAAATCCCAACAGGTTTAGTGCCGTGTGTCTGTGCAACTTGAGAAGCTTGTTCTAAAATATGTATGGAAAAACAAAGGACCAAGAATAACCCAGATAGAAGATGAAGAAGAAAAATAAGGAAGATTTTCCTCTACTAAATAATCAAGACTTTTTATATAACTATGGTAATTAAACAGTGTGGTGTGGACACTAAGATACACAAACTGTCCAGTAGAACAGAATAGGCAGTTTAGAAATACAGCCATACATAAATGGAATGTTAATATATGACCAAGTTGGCAGGACAATCAGTTGGGAAAAGTGGGGCTAGTCAAAAAAACAAACCTGGGTGAGGGGGAGTCATTTGTATGTAAAAAGTAAAACCATAAACTAAATTCCAGAGAGCATAAGAATTCAAATGTCAAAAGCAAAACTAAATTTTTTAGAAGAGTAAGTTAATATATATTAGGATGGGGAAAAAAACAGAATAAATATTTATAAATTTGAAGTTAAGAACATGTATTTATTAAAATAGGAAGTGAATGGGGCGCCTGGGTGGCTCAGTCGGTTAAGCGTCTGCCTTCGGCTCAGGTCATGATCCCGGGGTCCTGGGATCGAGCCCCGCATCGGGCTCCTTGCTCTGCGGGAGGCCTGCTTCTCCCTCTCCCTCTGCTGTTCCCCCTGCTTGTGTTCCCCCTTTCTCTCTCTGTCAAATAAATAAAATCTTAAAAAAAAAAAAATAGGAAGTGAAAAGACAAGCCACATATGAGAGAAGAAACTTGCAACACATAACTAAATCCTCTAAAAAAAAAAAAATGAGCAAAAGACATGAACTGGCTATTATAAAGGTGAGCCAAGGATGGCCCCTGTATATTGGCCCCTAGGTTGTTTATTTCTATGCAGCAGATTGGGACCTATATAAGCTCAACACCTGCCAGTAAGTACCAAACTCAAATTTTTACACATCCAGTTGTTTTAAACACAGCCCCAATAAGCAGACTTTTAGCCATTTAAGAGCGGCCTGCCTGTTTTGCATACTTCATGAAACTGTGTCCAACACCTGCTAGTCATAGATAAGATAAACCACATGGTTATAAAGACCACAAACTGCTGCTGCCCTTTGGAGCTTTCTGACCCAGGGACTTCCTGCTGGGCTGCAGAGCAAGGTCACGTAACCATCTGGGAATTTCCTTGCCCTCCACTCCTTCTAGATGTCCCAGAGTCTCTGGATTGTCTACTTAGGTGAGGGACTTCCCACACACAAATCTGTCAAAGCCAGCCCGGAGAAAACCTGTGTGTGTGTTACTGCCACCTCGTGGTCGTATCTTTTTCCTTCCTCTGCCCTGAAATCCCTCCAGCCCGACACTGACATTTCACAGTAAAGGAACTATACACGTGGCCAATAAATATACGAGTCGCCGAACCTCAGGGATAGGCCAATAAGGTTGGGATGAGACACCATTTAGCTCCCATTTCATTGCCCCAAATCAAGAAGTCTGAAGCATTAGGGAAGATATGGATGCTGGTAGAAGTGTAAGCTGGCGTAACCTCTTTGAATAAAGATAGGATACTATCGGGCGCCTGGGTGGCTCAGTCGGTTGGGCGACTGCCTTCGCCTCAGGTCATGATCCTGGAGTCCCGCATCGGGCTCCCTGCTCGGTGGGGAGTCTGCTTCTCCCTCTGACCCTCTGCCCTCTCATGTGCTCTCTCATTCTCTCTCTCTCAAATAAATAAATCTTAAAAAAAAAAAAAAGATAGGATACTATCATAAAAAGGTAAACGCTGACGCACCCAAGACCCATCAATTCTACTCCAAGGTAAACACGCCCAAGAGAAATGTTTGTACAGAAGCACCAAAAGGCAATGCTCATAACAGCACTGTTGGAAACAGCAAAAACCTGGAAATTGCATAGATGTTCAGCAGCTGGAGAGTGGATAAACAATAATACACTCACATAATGGGCTATTATGTAGCAACGACAGTGAAAGAAATGCAAGGATGAATCTTAGGTCTGAATGCGTATGTCCCCCCAGGATCCATAGGTTGAAACCCTAGTGCCCAGTGAGATAGTATTAGGAAGCGCTGGCATTCATGAGTGGAACTGGGTGCCGAAGAAGGAGCCCCCACGGAGATCCCTAGGCCTCTGCCATACCAGAAGTCTACTACCGGGAAGAGGAGCATGCCGGCTCCCTGCTTCCAGCCTTCAGAACTGTGAGGAATAGGGGCGCCCAGGTGGCTCAGTCAGTTGAGCACCTGACTCTTGGTTTCAGCTCAGGTCCTGATCTCAGGATCTTGGGATGAGCCCCACTGGGGACTCTGAGCTCAGGCTGGAGTTGGCTTGAAGATTCGCTCCCTCTGCCCCTCCCCCTACTCGTGCCCTGAAATAAATAAATCTTAAAAAAAAAAAAAAACTGTGAGAAATAAATTTCTGTCCTTTCTAAATCTGTGCTGGTTTGTCAAAGCCTGAATGAGCATGTTTGTGAAAATCAGTCCAGAATGCTAGACAGAAGTTAAAAAAACAGAAACTACTGTATTACCTAATAATGTAAGTGTGAAAAGTTAAAGCAATGTAAGAGCGGTGTAAACACAAATCAGGATGGAAATAACTTCGGGGGGGGGCAGTAGCAGAGAACGAGGACCCCGTATCCTTCACGAAAGTTGCAGTATTTCAGTTCTTGGGTCTGCCGGTGAGGTGGCCGCTTAAAGGGGATGTTCACCCTATGACTTCGGCCGGAGCCCAGGGCGGAGCCAGAGATCGAGACCCGAGCCGCGGGCGAGTCAGAGGCTTAACCTCCTGAGCCCCCCAGGCGCCCCTCATTGTGTGAGTTTTTGGTTAAACGCCATCCAAGGACCACGTCTTAGTAACTACTCCCGTGTACCTGAGGCTCTCTAAAAGATCCACGGTACCCTCATACCGCGCAGGCCTCGGCCCGAGCACGTCAGGAACGGCCGGGGGCCCACCTGCCGCCTCCCCAACCCAGCAGCCGGCCCCCAAGCCCCCAACACCGCCCGGCGGCAAAACCCCTTCCGCCACGACGCAGACAAAAGAGGCGGCGGTCACGTGGCGCGGCCGCCCACGCCCGGCGCGCCGTGACGTCACCACTCGGCGACCGGGCCATCGATTCCCGG